CAGCTCAGCCTCTGCCCTCGCCCCACCGGCGTCCCCTCGCCCCTTACCCGTGAGGCCCCTGGCGCCGTCCCTGGGGAGGGGGCACCCCCGGCTCTAAACGTGCGTCGGGTTGTCGAGATACGGGTCCGTCTTGGTCATGTGCAGCATGACCGTGGGGGCTTTGTAGTGGCAGTGGACCCCCCCGCAGCTCACCCCGCTGCAGGGCTTGCCCCTCGTCCTCACCCCCAGCTTTCTGTTACAGAGGTTCTGCCAGGTCTGCAGCGTCTTGGAGCTCCACACCCACACCCCGCTGGTGATGCCCACCACCAGCGACATGAAAATCTTTAGCATAAAGACAGCCACGGTGGGGACCGAGGTGTCCAAGGAGCAGCTGGCAGCGCGCCGGCCGGGGAGGTGCAGGCAGCCCTGCTCCAGGGCCCTGAGGTTCCAGTAATCCACGTTCAGCCGCTCGTAGAAGTAGCAGACAATAACACAGGTGGCCGGGACGGTGTAGAGGATAGAGAAGACCCCGATCTTCACCATCAGCTTCTCCAGCTTCTCCGTGTTGGTGCCACCTGTCTTCATGATCTTCCGGATGTGGAAGAGGGCGACGAAGCCCGTGAGGATGAAGGAGGTGCCTATGACCAGGTAGCAGGAGAGGGGGATGAGGACGAAGCCGGTCAGGGCACTGACGTCCATGCTCCCCACATAGCAAAGCCCTGTGAGCTCGTCCCCTGCCACCTTCCGCATGGTGAGGATGACGATGGTCTTCATGGCCGGGATGCCCCAGGCAGCCATGTGGAAGTAGCTGCTGTGGGCCTCGATGGCCTCATGTCCCCACTTCTTCCCAGCAGCCAGGAACCAGGTGAGGGTGAGGACGACCCACCAGAGCGAGCTGGCCATGCCGAAGTAATAGAGGATGAGGAAGACGATGGTGCAGCCCGTGCTCTCCAGCCCCTCCTGGATGATATAGAGCTCGCCCTTCTCCCGGTCGCAGGCGATGTTCTCGGCCCCTGCCACGGAGCGGATGATGAAGGCCACGGAGTAGACGTTGTAGCACATGGAGAGGAAGATGATGGGCCTCTCGGGGTATTGGAAGCGGTGGGGATCGAGCAGGAAGGTGAGGACAGTGAAGGCAGTGGAGACGAAGCAGAGGGTGGACCAGACGGCCATCCAGATGAAGGCAAAGTCCTTGTCCTCCCTGGACCAGTAGACATCCACGCTGGGGGAGCACCTGGGCGCGCAGGAGAGGCTCTTCTCCACGTACTGGAACTTCTCGGGGTTGTCGCAGGCTCCCAGGCCGTTGGGTCCCCGGCCCTCGGCGGTGCCCGGTGGCCATGGCCGGGGGGCCACG